TTTAGATCTAGTAATGTGTAATGAAGCATCTTTAATAATAATAATAATAATAAATGATCTCAGAGAAAAATGTCCCCTAGAAACAGTGACCAGTTGACACCTGTGGCAGATGTTCAAGAAAATAGACTCACAGCAAAGAGATAGCCCAGCGAAGAAGGATTCTGGGAAGGCAATAAACCAACCACGGTTAAACAAAGAAGTTAACGATAGTAATCAAATTGAAAGAATTAACATTCAACGTGACAAAGATGAGTGATAAACCAAAGTTTTTAAAGCCAACAGAAGATGAGCAAAAAATCGTAAAAAAAAAGGAGATAATACACCTTCAGATTAAATGAACAAATGATATCAAAATGGGCAATAAGGAGAGTCCGAGGTGCACATAGGCACCTTAAAGTATGAGGTTGAGGTAATAGTACTGGGGAACAGGAAATAGCATAAGATTTGAATTAACGTTTTTCAAGATGATCAGAGGATTAGATAGGGTGGACAGTGGGAGCCTTTTTCCTCGGATGGTGATGGCTAGCATGGGGGGACATGGCTTTAAATTGAGGGGTGATAGATATAGGACAGGTGTCAGAGGTGGATTCTTTACTCAGAGAGTAGTAAGGGCGTGGAATGCCCTGCCTGCAAAAGTAGTAGACTCGCCAACTTTGAGGGCATTTAAATGGTCATTGGATAAACATATGGATGATAATGGAATAGTGTAGGTTAGATGGGCTTCAGATTGGTTTCACAGGTCGGCGCAACATCGAGGGCCGAAGGGCCTGTACTGCGCTGTAATGTTCTATGTTCTATCAATCTTTTTGGTAGAAGACACCAATAGCATTCTAAAATAACTGCAAAATCAAAGAACAAAAGGGAGAGGAAATAAATAGCTATCACTGGAGAAGAAGTACTAGAGCAACAATTGGGACTGAAGTCAAATACGTTCCCTGTACATGATGGGTTGCAGCCTTAAGGAGATGGTGCATTAGTGAGAATGTAACCTCTGTCGACATCTTTGTTTCATTGTTTCAGTGGAGAGAAACCTTGTTTCAACAATTTACACTTGCTTTCTGCCATTTTTAACAGTGGTCTGATTTTCTGTCTGATTTTTTTTTACTTTTCACTGTTAGGCAATCAATTTCTGTCACTATATTTTACTCCAGAAATCCAAATGGTGAAGAAGAGAATTGGACCAAATCTTTCCACACTTTCTAAGGTTTTTTTTAACAAAGATGCATGTTACAAACATGCATTTCCTAACCAGATCATCTCAGTTTCAATCAGTTTTTCTATCTCGAGCACATGTGACTGCCCAGTTAATGTCACCATCTGCATGCAATTAAACATAATTCATATATATTTAATAATGTTAGCATGACAACCTGAAAAGCCAGAAAATACATTTTGTTTTATATTGATCCAGCAGTCACACATGTAAAACACTCATGTTACTACTTTTCTTTATGTGGCATTCTTTTGTGAAGCTTTCAGAAAATTAGTGACTTGAAATATATTTCATAAACACCTTCAGAAAAGGCTCTGAAGAAGACCCATACCAAATTCAAATTGCTAATGCTTTTATTCAAATATCTCAACAACTGCTGCCAGACCTGCTGATTTTCTCACGCATTCTGTGTTTTCTATAAAGCAGGCAGCCAGTTAAGTTAATTAAGTATTTAAATATGCCCTGTGATGGTAAGGCACACAAGGCTGTTGATCAAGTGCTGGAAAATGGGATTATAACAGTTAGGTCATTGTTTTTCACTGGCGCAGACTTGATGGGCCAAAGGGCTTTTCTCTGGCTGTACACCACTGTGACTGTATAACTCTGTGACCCTGGTTAACCAGACTGAAAGAAAGGCAACTCAGATTTTCTAATTGGTTGGCAGTTTCCCAATATGGTGGGGTGCTGCTGCAATCAGAGGGTGGAGGGTTTGAGCTATAGGGAGAGGCTGGATAGGTTGGGATTTTTTTCCCTGGAGTGTAGAAGGTTGATCCTATAGAGGTTTGTAAAATAATCAGAGGCATAGATAAGGTGAACCTTAGAGTCGTGGAATCCCTACACTGTGGAAAGAGGCCATCCAGCCCATCACAAAGGCAAAGATCTGTTCCCTAGGGTAGGGGAGTTCAAAACTAGAGGGCATAGGTTTAAGGTGAGAGGGGAAAGATTTAAAAGGGACCTGATGGGCAACTTTTTCATGCAGAGGGTGGTGCTTGTATGGAATGAGCTGCCAGAGGAACTGGTGGAGGCAGGTACAGTTACAACATTTAAAAGAACTTTGGACATCTAGTTGAATAAGAGAGGTTTAGAGGGATCAGCATGGATGAATTGAACCGAAGGGTGTGTTTTCGTACTGTATGACTCTATGACTCTAAATCACCCACCACAACAACTTTCACATCTTTCCAGAATCTAACTACATATATCTTCCTCTATCTCCCCCTGGCAGCTGGGAGGTCTGTAGTATAATTCCAGCATTGAGATTGTACCCTTCCTATTCCTGAGCTGTATCCATAATGGTTCACTGCAAGCTTTGGAGAGGGTGAAGAGAATGTTTATCAGGATGTTGCATGACCTGGGGGTTTTAGTTATGAGGAGAGGTTGGATAAACTCACTGGAAAGACAGATGCTGAGGGGTGACCTGATAGTGGTCTGCAAAATTATGAGAAGTATTGATAGGGTGGAAAGGTCATCTACAATAGGGCGTAGGTTCAATGAGACAGGGTGAAAATTTAGGGGAGAAGTGTGAGGAAAATTTTTCATACAGTGGGGTAGTGGGTACCTGGAATGCACTGCCAGTGAAGGTGGTGGAAGCAGGCCCATTAGCAACGTTTAAGGTGTATCTTGATAGACACATGGATGGGAGGCAAACAGAGGGATAGAATCTGTGTATGGGCAATAAGTAGCAGGTCTAATAAGGACTAGGATTTAGAGAGGGCTTGGTGGGCCCAACAGCCTGCTGCTGAGCTGTATTGTATATTCTATTGTATTGTATATCTGGCACCTTTTTCTGCCTTGTCTTGAAACATTTAAAAAAGCATCTATGATGTACTCTGTCAGTTAGTTACCATCCATTACAAGCTGTAGCTACAATTAAGCTGGAAGGCCTGTGATTGGCTGCCAAAATTGAGCCTACATACTGCATTTAGTTGCATACTTGATCTGATTATATGTCAGTTAAATGTGTGCCTCTAAGAAAATTCCAGGTCAGTGGCTATTTTCCCCCAATGTCAGGTTCAGAACCTGGAACCAATCCATTGAGCATCTGTTTCCTGCCTGGGGAAGGAAAATCTAGCCCTTGAAGTGAAATCACATTGAGCAATCAATGCTAAGATGATTTTAGGCATATCTATAAAGGCAATGGTTGCTGACATCAACAACTGTGGGCAACTACTCATGTGCATTCATTGGGAACACATGGTTCTGACTACAATGTTGTCATGTCAACTTTACCACATGAGTAAATGCATTACTGCACATGCCAGGCAAGTGCGCAGTTTTGAACTGGGCTTCAGAGGTAGGGAGAGGAGATGCCATGCACGTAAGGTGGGGTGTCCCCTGTAGTGAGGGGACAACAAGCAGAGACCTCTGGTCCCGATCTGTTCTCCACCCCCCCATCCCAATGTCAAACCCTGGCCTCCCATTACATCTCCCCAAGGTATGCACGATTTAAAGCAGCACGTTGCACGCGTGCATCAGTGTCAGCAAACACATCTACTTACAAACCATGTCTCTTGTACATTCAGCTCCCCATTGGATGCACTGTATTTGGCACAGAATTGATCTCTTATAACTATGATGTATGTTGTGTGATTTATACAAATTTAAATATCATTTAATTTTAGAGTTTGAATTTTGAATTAGTGACGTGGGTTTTGGCCCATGTGTATGAATGGGTTTAATAATTAATTATCAGGCTTTCTGATTTCTTTTTATAAATGGTATGAGAGAAATTGTTCCTGGAGTGTAGTGGGAATTTATTTGCATTGGGAGAGTTGAACAAAGTAAACCATGAAGTGAACTGTGAAGTCTTTAAATTAGAAGTATCTGGAACTGTTTTATTTAGGCTTAGCAGAACCACTATATATTAGAAAGCCATTTTTGGTTTCAGTTTGCAAAAGTCCTTGTGGACATTAAATGTGTAAATTGATTTCTCCTGAAGACAGTTTAGACCTGTTAAGAAATAGATCATCTGAGTGCAAGGAGTTTACTTTGAATGTTCCACACCAGAAGTTTTTGGTTCGACACCTAAAGAAGTTATTTGAAACTGACAAAGTCTAAGCTTAGTTTGTGAATATGTCAGGAAGAGGCCATCAAATTCCCAAGACCAGGAATTGAAAGTGATAGTTAAGTTACCTATAGATGTGATAGAGAAGGCTTTCTCTCTGGTGTTCGAGTACTGTAAAGGAATGCTTTTGGCATGGACAAAATATTGTATTTTACTGTGTATTGAAATCTTTATCATTGTCTTATATGTAAATGACTTGGTTTATTATAGTTTTTGATAATTTCGTCTTGAATGGTAATTTCTGTTTTATTATTAAAATTGAATCTTGAGCACTGCATGCTTGCATTTCAATGAAAGACCAGCATGTTAAGTAAATATATCAAACCATATATAAGTCTGGGATCTGACTTGTCCAGTAATATCATCAGCTGGGATTTTAACATGACATTTTATAGATGAATTTGTAGATGACACTTATAACACAAATCATTTTCGGACAGCTGCAAAACAATTTGATTGTATTATACAGCAATGGACAAATCATGCTACATTGAAAACTTTATGTAGTCACCTACTTAACACTAGCACCCTCCTCTTAAAAGTAGAAGTTTTGTATTGCTGCTGAAGTGCTATATAAAATGAAAGACCATTTTAGATTTTTGTATTCTAAGCTATCAGATAAATAGACTTAGTTATTATTAAGCATATATGTTTAACTGCTGCATGGATTAATAATCAATATTGAAACAAAACAAACAATATCTCTATCTTTACATGTCCTAGGTATAATAATGTGCTGGAGGCTTGTTGTTTGTATCCTGACATAGAAGCTCTACCATGCGGAGACATGACTGAGGTAAAAAGTATTTTGTACACCAGTGATTTGACACTTGTAAATTCATAATTTCCATGTTCTCAGTGCAGAACCATACTAAAGGGAGGTCACACTGGTTACTCTGCTTCTTTGCTCTAAACTTCCTTCAAGCTTGGTTCCCCACAGGAAACATGGGTAGATATTATTTTATCTTGGTTAGCCAAGATATTCGTCAAACTCTTACAGAATGGAGCTGTATTTGGTGTTTGTTTGTACATTGCAACTTAAGAATTGTCAGAAATACATACAGGTGCAAAATTTATATAAATTAATGGCTATAAATTCCATCTGAGCATTCGAAGGTCATGAAAGGTGCTATATAAATGTGTGCCATTCATTCATTTTAAATATTTTGCAGACTGTAACAAGAGACCTCGAGCTGGATTTTGCACTTGGGAGCTGGATTTTGCACTTTTCTGCACAGGGTTTGTTTACGATGCAGAAGGGGTGTGGGTACAAATGCAGCCCAGTGATGCGGTCTGCCTCAACTCTTGATGATGGCCACACAGCTCCTAACATTGTGTAAAGGCTTCCTAAACCTCACCTCTTACTCTCCTTACTCTCTCCACTTCCAAACATCCACATATATCCCGTGCATATAACCATTCATCTAATATGATCAGTCCTCAGATTCTATGCAGTTTTAGTTTAAAATATTTTATGTTTGTGAGGAAGAAAAATAAATCTCTCAATACATTAATAGAACCTCTATCATAAGTATTATTGATAACTAAGAATAAAATGCATTCTGCTGTGGAAAAATAAACTTGAAGTACATGAAATCTTGTTTGCTTGTGTCAACACAGAAAAACACAGAATACGACACAATCTGTCATTATGACCATGCCACTCATTCTCATATGAATAGAATACCACCCATGCAGAAATTCATTTGCACTTGAAAGTCTGTTATTTGTGTTATTTGGGCTTGGGATGTGGGATTTGCTGGCTAGCCCATCACTTATTGCCCATCCCTAATTGCCCTTAGAAAGTGATGATGAGCTGCCATTAGGAAACCATTTCCTGGATTTTGAACCACTAACAGTGAAAGAATGATTTTATAGTTCCACAACAGGATGGTGTGCAGCTTGGAGAGAGATTTGCAAGTGGTGGCGTTCTCATGCATCTGTTGCACTTGCCTACCTAGTTGGGAAAAGCAGTAGGTTTAGAAAGCGTTGTTGAAGGAGCCATGGTGAGTTGCTGCGTTGCATATCATAAATGGTACACACTGCTGCCACTGTTCATCACTGGAATTGGAAGTACATGTTCAAGGTAGAAAATGGTGTGTCAGTCAACCAAACCACTTTATTGTGTATGGCATCAAGTTTTTTATGATGGTGGAAGCTGCATTCATCCAAGCAAGTGGAGACTATGCCATTACAGTTCTAACTTTTGCTTTGTAGATGGTTAGCAGGGACTGTGGAGAATGGAGGTGAGTTACTCATCATAGTATTTATATGGATATTTCCATTCAGTTTCTGGTCAATAGAAACCCCCAGGATGTTGGTAATGTGAGATTCAGTGCTAGCACTTTCTGAATATCAAGGGGAGATGATTAAGTCTCTTTTGTTTGGGATGGCCATTGCCCAGTACTGGCATGGCACAAATGTTGCTGGCCATTGATAAGCTCATCCCTGAATGTTGCCCAGGTCTTGATGCATATGCAGACGTACTGCTTCTGCATCTGATATGACATGAATGGTGCTGAACATTGTGCAATCATCAGCAAACATCCCCATTTCTGACCTTATGATGGAGGGATTGCCAATGTGGCGTGGTGTGGATGGTTAGGGCCTACAACATTACTCTGAAGAACACTTGTAGTGATCTACTGGGGCTGAGGTGATTGATCTCCAACAACCACAATAAACTTCCCTGTGCTAAGTATGATTACAAACAACAGGGATATTTAACCCTGATTCCTGTTGACTTCAGGGTTGCTGGAGTGCTAAACACCATACTTGGTTAAGTGCTACCTCAATATCAAGGGCAGTCATCTCACCTCAAGAGCTCAGCTCTTTTGTTCATGTTTGGACCAAAACCATAATGAGTTCAGGGTCTCTGTGTCCATGGCAGAACCAAACTAAGCATCAATGAGCAGGTCATTCCTGATATAACAATCCATGAGGTTACAAATCATGGTTGAATGTTAGTCTCCTGCTCCTGTTGCCCCATCATGGAGACCCAGTCTTGAGTTTCTAGACCTGTGCAAACTTTGTCCAATTTAGCACAGTGGAAGTGCCACACAACATTGGAGGATATCTTCAATGTGAAGATGGGACTTCACTGCACAGTCCTCACTTCTACCAATACTGTCATGGATGGAGGCATCTGAAACAGGTGGGTTGATGAAGATGAGCCAAGTCAGTTTTTTTCCTCTTTTTAGTTCCTTCGACACTGCTGCAGACCCATCCCAGCAGTATGTGGCCTGCTCAGCCAGTAGTCATGCTACTGTGACACTGTTGGTAATGGCCATTGAAATATCTAATTGAGGAAACAGTTTGTGCTCTTTGCACTCTCAGTGCTTCCTCCAAGTGATGTTCGACATGGAAAGGTACTGATAAATCAGTGAATGGGGAAATGGTTAGTAATAATAGGAGGGTGGATCATTCTCCATGTTGAACCTGATGCCATGAATCTTCATGCAGTCCCAAATAATTGTTGTGGACTGTCAGGGAAACTCATTCTGCCTCTATGTTACTGTGTGCCACCCCGTCTAGTGAGTGTGCCTTGCCATCGAGACAAGACATACCCAGGTTTCTGGGATGTTGTCTCTAAGTTATGATTCTATAAGCATAACTATGTCTGGCTTTAGTTTGACTGGTCTGTGGGACAGTTCTTCATTTACGGTACAAACCCCAGATGTTGGGAAGGAAGACTGTTCAGGTTTGTCAGGGCTGTGTTAGAGGTTGTCATTTCCTATGCGTAAGTCGATGCCAGGTAGTCCATCCTAATTTCATTCCTTTTTTTAGACTTTGTAGTGATTTGATGTGACTCAGTGGCTTGCTAGGCCATTTCAGAGGCAGTTAAGAGTCATGACTTCGGGGGTAAGGATGGCAGATTTCCTTCCCTAAAGTACACCAGTGAACCATATCAGTTTTAATGACAATTAACAGTGGTTACCGAGTTGCTATTAGGCTACCTTCTAATTCCAGATTTTGTTGAATGCAAATTTCTGTATATGTTATTCTAGGATTAGCATCCATATCTCCAAAACATTGGGCTGGGGTTCTTAATTACAGGTCCAGTGACATTGCCACTCTGCCACTGACTCCCCGTAATGGCCACAGTTATGAAAACAAAGTTGAGGTTTTGCTATTTGTTGAATTGTGGAAAGCAGCTGTTTTTTAATCAGCCAGAGCTGTCATTCCACTCATTTGACAGTCCAGAATATTGGCCTTTTGGATATTTTGTAAATTCTTCTTTGCATTCGGGTATTTTCTCTATTGGAAAATTACTGTATTGTATGTCAGCAGTTACACAAAGCTGGTCAATGTAAAGGTCATATTAACTTTGCAGGACAAATCCCTATGGACATTAATTTCATTGAAATGATGACCACGAATCCATTGTCGATTGTCAGAAAAACCCATCTGGTTCACTAATGTCCTTTAGGGAAGGAAAGCCATCCTTACCTGTTTTGGCCTACATGTGACTCCAGACCCACATCAATGTGGTTGACTCTTAACTGCCCTCTTGGAAATTTGGGATGGGCAATAAATGCTGCCGAGCCAGCGAAGCCCTCATCCTGTGAATGAATAATTCTACATTCAAATACAGCAGCCAATAGTGAAACTGATGGTGTAAACAAAATGCATTTACTTTCCGAATGTTACAAAATCCACAATAGGCATTATTGACAGGTTTTTTTGTGGTCTGAGGCATTTTAGTATATAATTGTGATTTGAAAATGGAATTTGTTTTTACTTGCACTTTTTAAATGTGTTATGATGTTGGATTTTGTATTATTGGTAAATTGCTTATTTATTTATTTGCATTTTCTTAATGAACTTTTAAACCTGGCAAGATTTTGTTTTCAAGGCTCATAATGTCTCACTGGATAAAAATGTTGTACTGGAGGGAATTCGGCTTTCATGCTCCATTTAAAATAGGGAATCCAACCTTTAGCAGGGCAAGTGTGCATTTCACACATTAGGTATTCAAATCCACAAAAAGGCCAAAAGAAATCAGCGCAGGATTGAGAATGCAGAAGAAAATCAGAATTCGTTAAAAAAAAACTGAAGTGTGACCTAGTATACATGAAATGCACCTTTGCACTAGACAAAATCTTTGTCCATAAAATTCGACTCACACACTAGTCGCTGAGAGTGTGAACTCTGGGGTAATGTCTCTAGTCTTTTGTGCATCACCAATATTAATTGCTCCACCATTGGTGCCTGTGCTTTCTGCTGCCAAGTCTTTAAGCTATGGAATTCTATTTCTAAAACATCTCCACTGCTCTGTCTGTCTCTTTTCCTTTATGATCCTGTTCTGAACCTACCTGTTCACTCATGCTTTTGATTATCTGACTGATTGTCATCTGTGAGGTTCATTTCAAATTCTGTTTTACATTAAAAGTGCTTTATAAATGTAAGTTTTTGCTGTTGGACATAGCTCTTTGTGTTAGTTTTGCAAAAAAATTAAGGCACTTACTTATCACACCTTTTTAATGTAATAAGTATCCCAAAGCGCTTTACAGAAGCAAACATAACCAAATATTGAACAGAACTTGAAATGGCAACTGGAGTGGTAATTAAAGGTTTGATCAAAGAGATGAATTTTAAGGAGGCTTTTGGAAGAACGCTGGGAAGAAATTTACCTGAATATTATTTTATGTCCTCTCTAATTTGCAGATAAAATATGCAGAACAAATTCTTATTAAGAATTTAAGGAAAATTTAATTTTCATGAATAAGTAAATTTAGTTTTTACTTTTGCCACATGGACCTTGTTAATGATTGTGAAAATTGGCCAAGGGCAGAACTGAAAGTGATTCTGGAGACATGAAAACCTTTGGCCACCAGCAACTTTGGTTATTTTCAAAATGGTTTATACTGAGAAAGGGAGTGGGGAGAAGCCTATTGTGAGTGTGAGAATTTAGGATGAGAGCATGGAAATTGGATAAGCAGAATAGTATAACGTGATAGTGTAATTGTATGGATCCCTCTTGAATTTAAGAACCTCTTTGTTACTGATGTGGAAAAAGAAATCAAATCAAATGTCTCCTACGCTTTTTTCTGTGAGAAGAATTTAACTTTTCCCTCCTTTTCGCCATTCCTTTTTTGCAAAATATGATTCATGCAGTGGTATGATTTCATGTTACTAGCCGTATTCTTACCCGTTATCCAAACTGCCAATCTTCATGAGTGATCTCAAATCAGTGAATGTTGGTAGCTCAGATATGGGCAGATACCACAACGGAAGCACATTCTGTCCATCCCAGTGATTACAGCAGTATATTTTTTAACAGGAGATCACCGGACATCATTCAGGACTTGGGGCCATGGCTGAATTCACTATTCTGGGTTAGTAGTAGCACCCCGCTGGCATGTTTTAACTGTTACACCAATCAGTAATGACAATAATTCACCAAATCATTTATGAAAGCTAATTGTTCATTTCCTGAAATTGTGTGCATTGATTTAGGATGTTTCATTTTTATATTTATATGAAGGGTCAAGCAAGTGATGGGTGCTCAAGCTGTTAAAGAAATTTGACATGATCCATGTAAAACTATGAACCATGCATGGTAATAATTATAGCTGGTAATTTGCATTCTTGTAATTGAAGTTGCTACATTTCCATATTAATCATTCAATGTTGTTAAGTATTATTTTTGAGCCAAGTGAAATTCACTGATCATGTTAAAAGATCTGCAGTTCAACATTACGAAAAGCTTAAAATCCTCACAGTAGTTGAAGATTAATGAGTCACTCTCAAATATTCAGATAGCATTAGCTTTACAAATCTTCACCACAGATCGGAGAACGTGGTGCCAACCTCAGCGGAGGACAACGGCAGCGGATTAGTCTTGCTCGTGCTCTGTACAGTGATCGAGATACATTCTTGCTGGATGATCCTCTCAGTGCTGTAGATGCACATGTTGGAGCTCATATGTTTATCCATGCCATTAAATATGGAATGAAGGGAAAGACTGTTCTCTTTGTAACCCACCAGCTTCAGGTAGGCAAACATTCAGCAAAATATTCTGATGAACGATCACTGGACTCGCAATGCTAACTCCATTTTTCTCTGTTGCCGCACCTACTAAGTTTCTCCAGCACTTTCGGTTTTTGTTTCAGATTTCCAGCATCTGTGACTCTTTGTTTGTGTTACACATTCAATAACATTCATTTTAATTAGCCCTGAACATATACACTGTGGACCAAGGCTACTTAAGACAGGAAACCACTTGTACATTCTGCCACTGCAAGCCAACAATACCGTTTTTCAATTTGACGTAAAACAGTTACATTGTATCCTTATATTGTGTGTTGTAATTAATATAATCTTATAACACAAACCAAAATTAGCATTTCCAAAAATATCTGAATGGCAGGCAGTTTTAGTGCTGTATGTTCTTCCTATCTGTTTTGTTTAATTATGAACATCCATTTATGTTACTGTGTTTCATCTAACTACAGCCCTTATTCCACTGCTAACGTGATAATGCAAATAAGTTAATGCTTGTGTTGCTCGCAGCATAGAACTGTTTTTCAGTTATGACTAGAGATCCAAAATCCATCTTAATAAGGAGGAGATGTGAAATATAATATTAAAATAACCTTGCACTTGAGGATGGCAGTTGGGTCCAGAGACCCAGGTAATGTTTTGGGGACCTAGATTCGAATCGCACCATGGCAGATGGTAGAATTTGAATTCATTAAAAGAAAATCTGGAACTAAGAGTCTAACGATGACCATGAATCTATTGTCGATTGTCAGGAAAAACCCATCTGGTTCACTAATGTCATTTAAGGGAAGTAAACTGCCATCCTTACCCCATCTGGCCTGTATGTGACTCCAGACCCACAGCAACATGGTTGACTCTTAACTGCCGTCTGGTCAATTAGGGATGGGCAATAAATGCTGGCCTAACCAGCGACACCCTCATCCTGTGAATGAATAAAAAAAAGGGTTCATGGCGGGTGCAATGATGAATATTCAGGATGGTACCTGACTCACATTATTTCTCACAATATGTATATAAGTTCATTCCTGGCATTCTTCATTTCAAGATAGTAAGAATTACCGATGCTGGAGTCAGAAATAACACAATGTGGAGCTGGAGGAACACAGCAGGCCAGGCAGCATCAGAGGAGCAGGACAGCTGACCTTTCGGGTCGGGACCCTTCTTCAGAAATTCTTCATTTCACTGCTTTTGTTAACCTTTCTACTTTTTGCTTCTTGTCTTTGTCATGTCAAGGCAAAAATATTTACTGCTTCACTGTTTTTGAAAATTCAGTAAGACCGGTATCTTTTATAAGAAGCAGAAAATATTTATAAAAGCCGAAACAGCTGCAGATGCTGTAAATCAGGAACAAACACAGAAATTGCTCGAAAAGCTCAGCAGGTTTGGCAGCATCTGTGAAGAAAAAAATCAGAGTTGATGTTTCAGATCTAGTGACCCTTCCTCAGAACTCAGAACAAAAATATTTCTAATTCTGGTTACTAACTTGTGGGTTTCTACCTGTCTCATGCAATTGTTATGTTAGTTGATGAGTGATTCCTACTCCAGATCCTATTCCACTTTTTTCTCCCATGTAAACTGCTTTTGGTGTGTAACACAAATGAAATTGACAGGTAATTGATAAAAAATAAATTCAAGAATAGTTGCTTTGTCTCCAGGGATTGAGTCTGGTCCTCGAGATTTCTCATCAGTGACATTACCAAGGGGGCAATTAAAAGCATTCAATACACGCCACACACACGTACGTGCGCAGACACACACACACTCTTCCAATTCTTATGTTTCTTATCTATTCCAGTATCTTGTAGATTGTGATGAAGTGCTGTTCATGAGGGATGGATGTATTGCAGAACAAGGAACACATGAAGAACTGATGACCCTTAATGAAGACTATGCTGCCCTCTTTAACAGCATGCAGCAAGCTGTAAGTGATCACATTAAGTTAAAATTATAAACTTGTGTATGCCAGGTTCCTAGAAAATCTATTGTGGTAGAGTGGGTCTCTTCATTCATATTCTACACCTCCTATTCATAAACATGAAGAAGCTCTAAAACATGATAACTTATTTTGTTTTTTTATTCACTTCTATTTGATTATCATGTTCTACATCCTGTTCTGAAGATGTTGACTCCTTGCTAGTATTGATTTCACAGGTGTCAATTGCTGTCTAGTCCTTCACCTGACTGGCTATCCATTCTATGCCTTATCTTTATTTGGCATACAATAGCACTTAGATGAGAGTGCCATTTGTTGGTGATCAGGATCAAGAACCCTGATTTGTTTTTACCTTACTGTTGCTAAGGCATCTTTACCTAGTTAATTCAGCACAGGTCAGATATGACATGTGGAACTGCATAGTTTGTGGGGTCAGATGTTTATTTGATAAACGATGCTGAATTGTTTCAGTCACCATAACCTCTTTTCAATAGTTTAGTATTCTACATGTTAGGAAGATTTTGTTAAGTATTTTAAACGGAAACATGATGTTAAATATTCCCACTTGTTTGCCTGTACTTCCATTAAGATTTTGATGCTATAGGCAGTTAGTAAATTTGATTGTAGAATAATAGAATCTGCATTGATCTCACAATCCAAAACAAATATAGAGGCAGGATTTTTGCATTTCGGAGTTATGCTTACAGTCAGTGACAAAGTTAGGAACGAATGTTCCCCACTCCTGATAGCTGCTCGTAACCATGTAATGCTCAGTGGAGTGTTAATTGGGTGGAGATGAACATGATTGGCTATTGCTGGGATTACATCCAGTTCCAACAAAGAAAGGACAGGGGTATAACACTTCACTGGGGTAATGTTATAAAGTCATGGAGGTCTACAGCACAAGCAAAAGCCCTTCAATCCATTGAGTCTGCACCAGTCAACAAAAACAATCTAACTATATGAATTCCATTTCCCAGCACTAGGCCCATAACCTTATATGCCTTGGCATCACAAGTGTACATTTAAATACTTCTTAAATGTCATGAGGGTTTCTGTCTCTACCACTACAACAGACAGGGAGTTCCGGATTCCCCCCATCCTCTGAATGAAAAAATATTTCCTCGCATACCCTACAAACCTCCTGCCTTTATCTTAGGTTTATGCCTCCTGGTAAGGTCCCTTCCTGTCTAACCTATCTGTCCTGATGAAAAGTCCCGACCTAAAACGTCAATTTTCCTGCTCCTCTGATGCTGCCTGATCTGCTGTGTTCCTCCACCTCCACAATATATTGACTCTGACTCCAGCACAAGCAGTTCTTGCCATACCCTGTATGTGTCCCTCATTCATTTATGCATCTCAATCATGTTCCCCCTTCAGTTTCTTCTGCTCCCAGGAAAACTACCCCAGTCTACCCAATCTCTCTTCATAACAGCAGCCCAGGCAACATTCTGGTAAATCTCCTCTGCACCCTCTCCACTGCATTCACATCCCTCCAATAATGTTTCCCAGATTCAAGAAATGCACACAATGCTCTGGCTGTAGCCTAACCAACTTGTTATACAATTCCACCATAACTTCTCTACTCCTAAAATTTTATGCCTTGGCTAATAAAGGCAGGTATCCCATGTGCCTTCTTAGCTACTTTATTTACATGTCCCACTATCTTAAGCAACTTGTGCACATGCACTCCAAGATCCCTCTGATCCTCATTACTTGACAGGGTCCTACCATTCATTGTGTATTCCTGTTCCTTGTTTGTCCTACCTAAGTGCATCACTTCACACTTAACTGGATTAGATTCCATTTGCCATTGATCGGCTCATCTGACCATCCTGTCTATATCTGCCTGTAATCTAAGGCTATCCTCCTCAATATTTACCATCCCACGAATTTTTGTATCATCCAAGGACTTACCAACAGCAAGGATTCTTGTGGAACCCTGCTGGACACAGGTTTCCAGTAACAAAAACATGACTTGACCATCACCCCCTAGCTTTCTGCCACTCAACCAATTTTGGCTCCAATTAACCAAATTTCATTAGATCTTATGGAGTCTTTCCTTCACTCTCAGTGAGCCATGTGGGACCTTATCAAAAGCCTTGCTGAAGTCCAAGTAGATGTCATATACATTACCCTCATCAACACACCCTGGCAACCTGCAGTGATTGGAACCAGGTGAACCTTGTTGACTATGAGGTCCTTGATTAGGGTTGTTAACCTGGACCAATCAGGAAAGCCCTAGCTGACCAATATTAACAGGAGATACTGGGTGGTGGAGATTCCCAGTGGAGGGCTCTCTATGCGGTGGTCCTCCGTCTTTCTTTAGGAATCTGGGATGGAGGGTGTTGCACGCAGCAGTCGCTTGTAACAGTAGAGTGCGGTGATTCATGGACTCCCAGCCCCACTGTTTCTTTTGCAGCGGTGTGAAGGCAGTGGACCATGTGTATATTGGGTGTGGGCACTTGCATTCCCTTTTCAGTTATCTTAAAGACCTCATTTTGTCTTTTTGGTTGTACTTCTTTGGACAGCCAGTGCGGAGGGGAGCGGGCAGGTCAGCGATCCCCTTATGAATCTGCTCCTAAGGCCTGGCCAGGCTGGCCATTAGTAGGTCCAGGCAGTGGTCCATGGAGGGGGGCATTAAGACTGACTGCCTGTCCCTCTCCCTTGGCTACATACTGGTCCGGGTGTCCCTGGAAAAGGAGCATGTGGTGTGCACCAACACACTCAATGCCTTTCAGGAGATGTCGGCATCGCGGGGTGTGGAGTGCTTTATTTCCCCCACAAACTCTATTTTGATATGATCCCGACCCCCTCCCCCCTCACTTTTTATTTCACATAGGCTTTGCCCCTAGGGTCTCTGCTTGATACTGGTTCTTTTTGTCACATAGGTGTTTTTCCTGATGGTGGTATATTAATAAAGTTATTTGCACACCTGGTGTTTTTTTACTGTGTCTCACACCTGCACACATGCAATATGTGTCCTGAGGAAAATAAGCACTACTGCTGAAAAAATATATAAACAGGAGTTTTAGAATCTCCTCAGTTCAGGGGACTGACTCCGAGCTGGCTGCCCACAGCCAGCGTGCTGTGCACAAGTAAATAAAGGGTGAGTTGGTGATGGGGATATTGGCCTCTTAGCAGTTATTTCAGTGGTGACAGGAGAAAACAGTATGTGCCTGAAGAACATTTGCTTACAACAATCATCTTGGAATTTGGGTGAGCATTTCTGTCATTATGCTTTTATTTGGGAAGTTTGACTCGTTCGATCCTGCTGTCGAAGACTGGGCCCAGTATGTGGAAAGAATGTGATGCCTTTTCCAGGTAAATAATATTGGGGCAGATGAAAAGAAACATGTAATTCTCCAGCCAGCTTGCAGACCTGTAGCATTTTCAGTTATAAGTGGTTTAAATTTCCCAGAGGCACCAGATACTAAAACCTTCCAAGAGTTGACGCAATTGGTTAAGAAATATTACGATCCCAAATCTCTAATTCTGAGATACTATTGGTTTTATTTGGCTGTTAGAGAACTGGGGGAATCCATATTGGGATTTTTGACTAAGATGACTAGCGGAGGCATGTGATTTTGGTTAACCCTGCATGAGATGCTGAGAGACTGATATGGGGGTTCAATGATGTAACCATGCAGAAGCACCTACCAGCTGAAGCCCAACTCGACTTCAAACAACTGGATTTGTCATTAGGAAAGGTGACAAGTGGAGCATGGGAACGATAGGGCATCCTAGTGGAAGTGGACACCCTCACCTGTCCAACTGAGTTTAGGGAATACCACTTGAGTGTAAGGGATCACAGAGCCTCTCGCAGGGTATATCGTGAGCAGAGGGACCCTAGCCCAGCCCAGCCCAGCCCACAACAGAACCCGACAACAAAGCCGAGCCTCGGCCAAGTGGTTAAAGGCTCTTCAGGATCTGGGCTGACAAGCCATTGTAGTTGCTATCGGTATGCAGACTCAAGACTGTAAAGGAGCCCTACAAGGCTTGACTTGAGTAAGATAACTCGTAGGCCGGTACTCAGGAGAGTGCACACCCTGGAAAGTCCCCCTACATTGTAGGTTGGAACAATTAAATTGCTTATGACATCCAAATCGGAACTGATTAAAATTAATGTTTGGTTAAATGGTCACCCAGTTCACACAGAGGTTGATACCACCGCAGCTGTATCTGTGGTTGCAGAAGCTGTCTTTATCAAGATTCGCTCAGGACTCCAACCTTTAAGTTTGCACAAGACCTCAGCCAGACTGAGAACATACAATGGGGACCATTGCAGATAAAGGGTATGACTTTGGTTCTGGTCTGCTATGAGAAGCAGTCGGTGCAGTTGCCACTGATGGTAATAAAAGACTTTGGCCCAAGCCTGTTGGGGCAGAATTGGTTCAGAATGATTCACCTAGATTAGCTCAACATTTTTCGTTTAGAAAATGCCTGCCTCAGTGAAGTCCTAGTGAAATACGCAGGAGTTTTTCAGGAAGGGCTTAGAACTATCAAAGGGGTCAAAGCCTCTTTGCATGTTGACGACGAAGCAATTCCGAGATTTTACAAGGCTTGCCCAGTGCCATTTGCCTTGCGGGCAAAAGTAGAGGTGGAAATCAGGAGGCTGGAGAGTGAAGGAATCATCAAACCAGTGCAGTTTGCAGAATGGGCAGCACCGGTCGTACCAATTGTGAAGACTGATGGCTCAGTTCACCTTTGTGCAGATTTTAAGCTTCTCGCAACTGGATAAATACTCAATGCCTCCAATAGAAGACTTGTACGCAAAGTTGGCAAGGGGGGGGGGGGCGCTGTCCTTTACAAAGCTGGACATGAGCCATGCCTATCTGCAATTGCAACTGGATGAGGAGTCCCAGAAGTATGCTACAATTAATACCCATAAGAGTTTATACCAATATACAAGATTGCCATTTGGGGTATCATCAGCATGCTCCCTTTTCCAGTGGACGATGGAGAGCATTTTATAAGGGCTACCCCAG